AAAAATCCTACGAGAGTAAAAATCCTACGAGAGTTTAGTAAGGAGAACATAAGTAAACTTAATTTACCTTGTTTGGGAGTTTTAATAAAAATAATGATAGAGGCACACCTCCAACCATACCTCCAACCACACTCCCTCTCTCTCTATAGTGGTAGTGGGCCCTGCATGATATTTTTTTAAAATATCATGCATGGCCCACTACCACTATAGAGAGAGAGGGAGTGTGGTTGGATGTGTGGTTAGAGGTGTGCCCCTAGTGGGACTCTTTTAATAAAGGGGAGGAAAGTGAAGTGAGTATATATAAAGTTACATAAACACCCTTACATGTTATTAAGATATCTTATCAATTAATAAATTATAAGAGTAAAATTGTTTTTCCATCTTGTAAAAATTTACACCCATTTTCTTTACTCCCTCTAATGCCTAATTTAGAGGAAAGAAAAATCTTACTAAATTTCAACTTCCCTTCCATCATTTCACCCCTTAAAAAAACTCCCTAAGACCATCTCCACTGCCACATCACTTTATTTAATTCAATAAACTCCATTTCCCTATCAACTCTGCAGCAGCTAGTTTTTCAGAAAGTTTTTTACTTTATTTGGGACCCACCATAACCACATCACTTCAACATATACCCTACCATATTTATTCATTATTTTTCCTATTTCATATATATTACTATTATTATTATTAGTATAACTCATATATTTATTATAATTATAATTATAATTTATTAATAATTCAATAAATAATATATAATATTTAATATATTATTAATTTAATTTTCTTTTTAAATTAACATAAAATAACACACGATTTTATTAAGCATACGGAAAACCAAACACACCCAAATTATTGAAAACATTAAAGAAAACACACACTAAATTGGTAAATCTAATCGGAGGTTATTCCAAATTTCTGCCAAATGTGCTCGATGAGATCCTTCTTCAGCTGAATATGTTGGGTCTTATCTCGTAGTTCCGCTCTAGTCTGATTATCTGCCTCAGATCGGTGTTGAACATGGACTTGAAACTCCGGCAACACGTCTGTTTGAACATTGAAAGAGGCGGTAGAGCTAGAATTGTTCGACGGTTCAAAGTCGATATTTTCCCAGTTTCGCGAATACGTATCTCGTTCATCCTCTACTATCATGTTATGTAAAATAATGCACGCCCTTATTATTTTTCCTAAGACATCAAGATCCCACATTCTAGCTGGTTGGCGGACAATAGCAAACCGTGCTTAGAGAACCCCGAATGCGCGTTCCACGTCCTTCCTGCATGATTCCTGTGGTTTGGCAAAAAATTGATGTTTGTTGCCTTGGGGCATTTGAATTGACTGCACGAAGACAGGCCACTTAGGGTAGATTCCGTCGGCAAGATAGTACGCAAGATTGTACTGCCGCCCATTCACGGTGAAGTTTACCCTTGGAGCTTCACCCGACTCAATGTCGTCAAAAACCGGTGACCTATCTAGTACATTTATGTCATTCAAACTACCAGGAAGCCCAAAAAAAGCATGCCATATCCACAAATCATATGACGCAACTGCCTCGAGGATAACTGTTGCCGTCCCCTTGTGTCCACTAGTAAATTGCCCTTGCCAAGCCTTAGGACAAATTTTCCACTGCCAGTGCATGCAATCGATACTTCCAATCATCCCTGGGAATCCACATTCCTGTCCAACTTGGAGTAACCTCTGCAAGTCTTCCACATTTGGTCGTCATAAGTATTCATCTTGAAACAATTCTATTACCCCTTCACAAAACTTGCGAGTACACTCGATAGCAGTGGATTCTCCTATCTTCACGTACTCATCACAAGCATCGGCTGCGACTCCATATGCGAGCATGCGTATGGCAGCCGTACACTTCTGGATAGGCGTTAACCCAAGCTTGCCAGCATTATTGCGCCGTAGTGTAAAGTAATCGTCGTAATTTGATATAGAGTCCACAATTCGTAGAAAGAGAGGCCTTTTCATTCGATACATGCATCAGAACTGGGCGTCAGTGTAAGTGCATGACTCGGCAAAGTAGTCGGCCATGAGTCTCTCATGCGCTGCATGATGATCTATATATATGGATTTCCTCTTATGTGGTTGTTCGCTTCTCCTTTGCAATTCTTCAAGAAGTTCTCGCTGCCTATCAAGTATTTTTTCTTCTATTTCCCATTGTTGTTGGAACTCTTCTAGACTAAACTCATTTAGGGTTGGATCCATTGGATGATATGATTTTAGAAATGTTGATAGGTATACTTATGATGTGCATTTGATCAGTTTATATAATGAAGGGTAGTTGTTCAAATAATTGAATTCATATGCAGTTGCAGAGACATGTGTTCTAGGGCATGCAACATCAGAGACATGTGTCGTAGGGCATGCATCTGCAAAGAGTTGTCAATTCATATTTTGTATTATTATGCAGGTGTAGTCATTTCATCTTTTGTATTGTTTTGTAGTGAGAAGTCAATTCAACATTTGTTTGTTTATGCAGTGAGTAGTAATTGTATCTTTTGTACTATTATGCAGTGAGAAGTCATTATCAATCGACTTTATTGAAACATAAACAGATATTTTATTCAAACATAAACAACAATTTTATTCAAACATAAACAATAATTTTATTAATACATTCAACAAACATAGGCACTCACACAACTCCAAAATTAAACACACGGCACACAAAAACTTCAGAAAGAAAACACACAAGCATAACTTCTTGAGAAGGTCTTATTTTCCAAACAGGTCCTTCCTCAACATATTATAAGCTTCATCATCTTCATCGTCACGATCTGGTTTGTTTTTCAAGAATAACCACATCTCCATATTCTTGGAATGAGCCAGGTTATTCATAGCTGAAGCAGTACTTGATCTTTTCTCTTCAAATTTTTCATGAGCACTAACTAGCTTTTAGATAAGTCCTCCTCAATTGCCCCCTTCGATTTCCTTGAAACAGATGTTTTACTAGAGGAAGCTCTAGCTTTCTTCTTTGCCACGTCCCTACCCTCTGGACGTACAAGGGTAGGAGTTGATGATTCAACATCCTCACCACTACTCTTTCTTTTAGAGCCACTACTACCGGATGCATTTCCTCCTGTCATATATTTGGGTTGATTACGAACCACCTTCCACTCATCCACCAAATTAAACGTCGTACCTATTTTCTCAAAGTACAACTCTCTTGCCTTGGATATGTAGTTTTCATCGGACCAACCGCTACGCTTCTCCCTACATGCAGTACTGTAGCAGCCAATGAAACTGGATATCTTTCTGTTGATGTCTTTGAAATGACTATGGCACCGAGACACAATCCTCTCCTTTCCACTTTTGGCGTTCTCATTCACGTACTGTGTAATTTTACCCCAGAAAGTTTCACCCTTTTGGTTGTTCCCCAACTCACTATCATTACTAACGTGAAAATAACCAGTTAGTAAAAGTATGTTGTCTTCGGTGCTCCAACTATCGTAACTTGATCTCTTTGCTGATTGTTGGGTTGGAGGCAGAAAACTATGGGGAGTATCCCCACCAACATTTCCCGAAGACATTTGGGTGGAAAATTCTGGGATATCTGTAGATCCGCTGCTAAACCGAGGTGTCACTGGCTCACTCGACTCCGTGTTAGGACAATTCATATGGGATGGAACATAGCTGCTTCCCGGAACTGGAGGATAACTGTAAGGAAGATAATGATATTGCATGCCGAAATTCGGTTGCATCATATACGACATTTGAAAATTGGGCTGCATACCCGTATTTTGAGTATTTTCGGGGCGTTGCATATTTGGATTTTGATGTTGAGGTTGGGTATTTTGAGGTTGGTTAGGAAAGTTGTAGTTGTAGGAAAAATTAGGATAGTTTTGTGAAGGATCCATGAAGAAGAAGTATGAACAAACTAGTTTGAAAAACAAGAAAGAAAGAAAAAGAGTGTAGAAACTCAGATTTTTTTTGGTGTCCAAATGACACAAAGTTAGTCTCTATTTATAGAGTATGGAAAATGATAATTAATGGTATAAAAATTATAATTTAATTCATAGTATTTATCTGCAAAAATAATAATTAAAATAAGGAAGAAATCAAAAAATGCCGACCAATCAGGCCTTGATACGTGGCAGCATGCATGGCATTAGCCATGCATAGCCATGCATGCTGCCACGTATCTAGGCCTGATTGGTCAGGCATTTTTCTATTTTTTTTTAAAAAATGTGACAGCCCACCGTGGGCCCCACGCTGCAGAAAAACCAGGGGGGAAATTTTCCCCACCTGCTCTGGTATTTCAATTTCCCCACCCTCATTCCCCTCCTACTCTAGCCAAAAGACTCCTATTTCCCTACCTGTTGCAGCAAGTCTAACAAAAGTTTTGTAAAAAATCACCTTCCCTACTATTCTCTAACCCCCACCCAAACACACCATTAGTGATGACAAACAAGTCCAGGGGAATAAAGATCTTACAATCAAAAGCCCACCCGCTAACGAAGTAAAATCCCAAGCCCAATCCAAATCAACGCTTCCCACGAGGGCAAACTAGCAATTTCATTCCGACTAGCTCTTCGCTCAGGAGGCTATAAATATCAAAAATTAGGGTTTTCAACTACCCATCTCCAGCCCGCCAGCGATCCGCGTGAGCGTCGAAGAGGTTCGTTCTATTTGCCCTCAAAACCCTAATTTTTTTTTTGGATCTTTCTCTTTTAGTTCCCCGATTAAATCTATTGCGATCTCTCTTTTGAATCAGGAAGAAAGTCTAGGGTTTCTGCAGGCTGCATCGTTCAGGTTCGAAGCAATTAGGATTATCATGTAATTTCATTTTTTTTGGCAATTTTTGATCTATTACCTGAGTTTTCAGTAATAACTCTTTTGCTTTCAGATTAGGATTTATTTGTTGCTTTTTTGAAGCTGCTATTTTAGTTTGTATATTTGATTGTGTTGTTGCATGGTAATTGAAACTTATTGTGTTGGTGACGACGTAAGAATAAACTAATTACATGATCGAACCTCTGAAGAAAATAAAGAAAGATTTCGGAATATTTAAGTAACGAGGCAAATCTCATTGATGGTATTGGGTATGTTTATGGATGGAACCAGCACCAAAACTTGTACTGAATAATGGATTTTGTTGACATTTACGTTTTTTATTGAAGAAACTTAATTTGGGTAAAGTTATGCCCTGGACTTAGTTTGGCAAGATTATGATACTCAGTGGATCACGGGCTAGGAGTTAGGTTGGCAGACCATGTCTCTGTGTCAGAGGATGAAAATTATGACACCAGGTTTTAATGATTTTAATCAGGAGAATAGCATATTTCCTTTTGCTTCCATTTAGCTTAATCTTCTTGTTCCAGATTTCTCCAGACTCACCAATAATTTCCTCAACAAGCCTAAGAGGATTAACTTGGTGAATCATGGTAGTTCCTAGCTTCTTTTGTGAAAACATAGAATGAATGTTGAATATATGATAAAATGATTAGGCAGGCCAGCATATATTCCACTTCTCCTGCTTTTTAAGACCTCATGTCACCTGAAATTTGGGAGAACTTATAATGCTTATATGCATTGAGTACCTAATCACCAATATGAAAGCTTTCCCAATGCAATGCTGATCATCACATTCATTTCCTTGCTTTTTGTTGACTATCACTCACCAATTATCACTTCCCTTGAGAATAGTGCTTCATCCATAGCTTATATTCAGAAAAATGGGAGCATTCTTGCCATACATTTTCAGAAAAGTGGTTTGGTTATGAACCTTCAAGTAGCATTATACAAAAGTTTGGCCATATTGAGCCATTTGAACCATTCATCAGTTTTTTGGCACAAATAAATAAATAAAAATAAGAGAATAAAAAATTAGACTACCTTTCAAACTCTTATCTATGATTTTAAACTGGTTGCTTGTTGCAAGTTATAAGTAGAGTTATACTTTTATTCAAGTGTTTAGCAAATTTACAGTCTCTTTCCAAAACAAATTTGTGAAGGCAACAACCATAACCTTCCCCTTATAATAGTAAATCCAATGTTTAAATAAGAGGAAGCGCGAGGCGAAGCGTTAAGACCCTTTTATGAAACAAGGCGTAAGCTTCAAAGCGTGAGGCATAATTCTTGTGAGTTTAAGCATTTTGATTTTAAAATTTGTAAAAATTATGAACACATAATATATAGTGGTATAATAATCTATAAATAGATACATTCATGTTCTGATTAGTAAATAAGAATTAAATATGTGGAGTATAGATGCAAATCACAATAAATTAAGCAATATGCCTAACATAGTCATATTTAAGACACATACAAGCACTAGTAAAAAATCCTTTTATATCCTTGAAGCATTTTGTAAAGTGCGAAGAGCACACATCAGTTATTCTTTAAGCGATGAGGCGTAAGCAAGTGTTTACCCCTTCAAAAAGTTTTGAAGCGAGTTTTTTCAAACATTGAGTACATCTGTAATTTGAACACACCATGAATAAAGATGTACCTTATTTTGAGTAGATTTTGAATGAGCTTAAAGGGGAAATGGCATAGTTATGTAACCTTTCCTCTATGGCAGAAATAACAATTTTGTTGGTTGAGAATGAATTTTGTGTGAAGATCTTCCCTATTTCTTTTTAAAGAAGGAAAGTATGTGGAAATATAGAAGAACATTACTAACCTTATGGTACGGGTGGAAACGAAACAAATCGAATCAAATATCATGGTATTCGGAGTCAACTTTGGTTTGTTTTCACGAATTCAAATTCAAATTCGTGCCAAATAGGAAGAGTGTTCAGATTGTATTCGTTAATTATAGGAAATATTCATTAAATATCCACAAACATCTCATTAGCACACTTGGTAAGTCATAAAATTCTTGAGCTTGAGGTCTTGAGTTCAAACCCTATGTTTGAAATATTTTCTTTAACTTTTTACTTAATTTTTATTATGATATTTCACTATAAGAATTATTATATTGTCTATTTATAAATTATTAATATAATAATACTTATAAATAATGCACACATAAAAGATAATACAGTATAGCAATATAAAGTTAGAAAAACATAAACGAAGAATTAATAATCAAGCGAATCAAATGTACCTCTGGTTAAATTCTATTCAATTATGAACCAAATACTAAAAAATATTCATTTACTATTAAATGAACTGCTGAATCAAATATGAACCAAAATCTGGATGAATAATTACCGAAGTGTTTATTAATTATTATTAAATGAACTGTCGAATCGAATATGACTGAATATCTGGATGAATAATAATCGAACTGTTTATGAATTTTTTGGTTCGTTTCCACCCCTATCTTATGGCATTTGAATGTTTAAAAGGCTTGACTAAAACCTTATTATGCCCCTCATGAATCATGAATGCAACTTTAAGAATGCGTTTTAAATACCTTATCTGGTGGTATCCTAACCTGAGACCCAGGTTGGAAAAAAAAATTAAGGTTCATTGCAATTCATTCATTTATTTATCAATGAATTGAATGTGAAACGTCATTGTTTGTAACCTATACATATTTTCTGGAAACCATTTGTTTTTTTAGCCATAGCTCGTAGTTTGGGGCTCTTAAGTTTACCACATCAGTTAGCTGTTTATCAGTCTCGTTAATATGGTATTCGTGGCTTGTTGGGTCCAATATATTGAGGTTTAGCTCTCATTATAAAATTCTTTGATCAACTCCTATAAGGAGATAATAATTGGCTCGGTCCTTTAAACACCTCTTAATAATCTGCGAGATACTTTTGTGGGTCTCTTGGCAATGACGGTTGATCATCAATTATATGCCCTCAACAAGCTTCTAAAGAATATGGATGAACCATAGCAGTCTCACTTTGCTGTGTAATATTCTTTGATGCATCGTTGCAATCAATGTTACATTAAACGCTGGACGCTTCTAGGCGTCAGACTTGGCGCCCAGCGTTTAGTCGCCTAGGCGGGCGCCTAACCAGTTTCTGGGCGTTTTTTTTTTCTTTCTTCATTTAAGTGGTGGTCGATGAGGTTTTGCTGAAGGTCGGAGGAGGTAGTGGAGGTGTTCATATTTGGAGGTTAATGGAGTTTGGAGGACGTGTAGGCTACGACACATAAAATCACAATTGAGGCCTACATGGTGCAATCCACGTAAGCACGTAAGCAGACAATGCTCCCCTAACGATCGTAAAATCTAGGTGGGCAGCCTAAATACTGCCTAGGCGCTAGGCGCTAGTTAGGCGGTCTATGTACCGCCTAGACCTAGGCGTACGCCTAAGAGGACTAGGCGGAGGTTTTTTAAAACAGTGGTTGCAATGTACCAAAGTAGGGTCTTGCGAGTAAATCTCTGCTAGGTTCTTCCTTTAAAATAGAATTAAACATGTACTTTTCTTTAAAATAAGACTTTATCATCAAATAGGTTCCTCAAAAGTAATTCTGCTGGTCCTTTCATCTCCGCTAAATTAATACCTAGCAATGTTCTTTTAGAATCGGACAATTATCATCATATATTTTCATACAATGGGCTTCCACTACTGTCTGACTTCTCCCTGTGTACTCCCAATACTGGCTGACTTCCCACGTGCACCTTAAGTAGATGTGCTACCACACTTGCATCCTAGCGGTATGAGCCTATTGAAGAAAAGTATCTGTTCATGTTTCTTGACATTTCACTTGGCTATATTTACTTTGGATGAAAATAGAGATTGGCATCAAGGGAAAAAAAGTTTTAGCAATTAATACTGAACAGAAGATACAACACAGTATTAAATAAAAGATGAATGATAGAATGGAAGACGTCCATGATCGTGAATTTGTTAGTTGATGAATCTATTAAGTGTACATTAGCACTCAGAATTTCAAACTTAACATATACTGTATGCTACATCAATGAAAAAAACGTGTTTGAAATTTGTTGGCATAACATTGATAATGTCTCAGGACCTAGCACATTGAAATCAGTCTGACTAGGAATTTATTCCAAAGATTTTTTTTCCTAACATTTGGTATAACAATATTCTTCAACAGTAATCTGTTTGTCTATAAGTGCAGCATGGATACTCAAGTGAAACATGCAGTGGTGGTGAAGGTGATGGGCCGAACTGGGTCAAGGGGTCAGGTGACACAAGTTAGAGTCAAGTTCTTAGATGACCAGAATCGTCTGATCATGCGAAATGTCAAAGGCCCTGTTAGAGAGGGTGATATCCTTACCCTTCTTGAGTCTGAAAGAGAAGCTAGGAGGCTTCGCTGATTTCCTCTGTTGGCCGTGTTGCTATCTCTTTTCTTGCATGCTGTTAGCGTGTTAAATGTTTATTTTTCCTGTAGGTGCTACTTTCCTTTTAAATTCTCTCATTTTAGGAGCATGCCTATGTTTTTGTGTGAAAGATGAGTAAAAACTAAATTTGGAGATAGTTTGCTAAATTTTGGGGAAGGACATACTGCCATTTTGGTTTTTTTTGAGTTGACAACGAGCAAGTGATTTCTTAGTTTGCTAAATTTTTGGTACAATTGGTTTCGTAGTTTGCTAAATTTTTGGTATCCATGTCGTGTGTTTGCTAGAGCATAATTTTCTCTACATAAGGAGGCTTCTATAAAAAGATATTAGAAGAGCACTTTAGTTGCACATGACTTTTGTTCGCGGGTGTGCGTGTCTAGATAAATTGGATTATGAGCCAGGACAGGGTTTGCTGCTACGGCCGCAAAACCTTGGTTGTTATCTTCTTTCAACTTTTGTGGAGCAACATCACCTTTTGGTAGGCCGACGATGGGTTTGCATGTTTTCCTGCAGCCATTCTTAGATGATAGTGAGAATAATCGTATTTTGGTTCGATAAGCTTAAAATATTTTTAGCAATGGTGATGCTTATATAATTTATATTATTTTGAACCCTTCGGATAATAGCCCGAACTGTCATTTGCAAGGAAACTTCTGAGTTTTCAGAAGTTTCCTTTTCATTTGATGTGTTAGGAAGAATGAGTGAGTACATGGATTCAACTTACACTGTTAGCGTTGCTCATTCAATTCGTGGTTGTAAGTGTGGAAATTGATGAGGCAAAAAGGAAAAAGAAAATGACGTTCAAAGTTGTGCTGCCCTCATCTCTCATATCAGTTTGGACTACTTGCTCCTACTCTCCTTGTACTCATCCTTATTTGCTGTGCTTCTTTATAACAAAGATTGATCTTGATTATAGATGCTCTACAGTAAAATCCTCCGATGCCAAATGACTCTGACGGTGGTAGTAGTTTTAAAGATGCGGGTGATTCTTGGTCAAGCTCTCTGGGAAGTGCGCGCACCAAACATTTTTTTTACCATCCCTTGAGATCATATCTCCGACTTAGATCTAGAAGAAGGTTGATTTCAGAAGAAAAGTTCAAAGCCCTTTACAGTTCGCTAGATGTTCATTATGGGGTATATGGGTGGTGAGTTGGAAATTTAGAAATTTTATTTACATGCCTACGTATTTGCTCCAAGTGATCAAACAGACTCCGATGAAGGAGTCTGGCATGTCCTGTACCCCAAGATCTGCAAACCGTCTCTTCACATCCGTATCAACATCATGTACAAACAAATATACGAAGCCATGCGACAAAAATACAACAAAATAATGGAAATTTCGATATATTTTGTTATAAACCTCGAATATGAACGCCATCGAAAAAAATGATTTATTTTGTTATAAACCTCGAATATAAGCGCCATTGTGATGGATCATGGATTTGATGAATGCTGATGAGATGAGGCTGAAGTAAATAACACATCACTCCTCATTTCTCCGCCTTTGCGTCCTTCCGTATCGCTCCAAAACGGGTGTTTGGTTCAAAAGTTGATGTTTTCATTGTCATTGAATCTATTACAACTTTGGTCGTTACAATAAACTCGAATAAAATAAAAAGTTGATTTTTTTATAAGATCTTCTTACACAATGAAAATAAAAAGTTTACAACTTTATCAAACAAACGCAGAGAGATCGTTTATTGGTCTTCTGCTTGTGCGGGATCTTTGCCTGTGCTGGGGACGTCGATATCTGTGGACCGTCTACGGATCATATAAGGTTGACAGAAAATTGACAGAGCTCCTACTTCACCAAGGAAGTATTCGCTTGAAGCTCTGAGATCGACCAAGCGAAATCAGTAGTTCTTCTCGAGATTAAGACAAAACCTAATCTCGAGGAACGGACAGACGGGGCTTCGGATCTCTCGAACTCTCCCTCTTTATGCTGAAGAACTTCGCCAAGATCAGTTAGCCTCCTCTCTAAAATTCGTGCTCATTTGACTCCTTGATCCGGCAGCACCTTGCCCTCTTGATAATAATTTCGTCCCCTGTGAATTGAGCCCCTAGGCCTGTATTTATAGGCTTCGGTTGGGGGTTTTCGAATAAGAATGATGGATTTGGTCATATCTTCAGTCAATAACGGCCTAACCATGTTTGTAGATGATATCAAATCAGTTGGGAACCCCTGGAACAGATAAATCCCGAGAAAACCGCTCAAAACTGTCAAAAACGCGTCCGGGGGTTGAAACAGCGCGACGGGTGAATCTGAACCGCGGGGGCGCTGGTCGGTTTAGTCCGACCCGCGCGGGCGCGGGTCGGATTCGCCCGACCCGCGCGCGGCGCAGGTGTGAGTCGACACCGTGTGGGTGCGGGTCAGATTCGTCCGACCAGCGCGGGCGCGGGAAGTTTGGCTTTTCGCTGAACTTTTTGGTGTTTTTCCGACTTTTCTGGGACTTGTATTTTCCACCGTTTTACGTATTTGGTCGTCTTGTTGACTTGCACGCGTCGTTTATGAGTATTTCGTCGTTTCGTTAACTTGTACGCTTCCTCATGCGGATCGCTTGACTGACGTGCGCGTGTTGACTGACGTGCGCGTGTTGACTGACGTGCACGCGTTGACTAACGAGCGCGCGGGCCACAAGAGGGTGGTTTGAGCGCACGAGACGATTGGTTTGCCATTCTGGTGGCTAACGAGCGTGTGGGCCAGTTGGCGTTTGTCGTTGTGGTGATTTGTTGTCGTGTCATCAACGGTTCACCGATTCGCTTCATGCGCTTGTCGGCGTCGGATAATCCTCTTTGACTCGGATAATGACGTTCATCGCCTTCTCTTTGTCTTGAGCTCCATTCGGGGACCTATATGCAATTTTTGACTCCTACAGATACCTCCTCCAAAGAATTTTAGACTCGTTCTTTTATATAGGAGTCCGAAATACTTTGGATAAGATAGACCCTTTCCTCAATCCCGTAGAGGGGCATGTGAACTGCTTTAATTCTTGACTTCTTCAGCCTTCAGTCTATTCAGTGTTTTATCGAATAGATGAAGTTCTTCCGGCGCTGCGTTTATCGTCTGACCGTTGTCGAAATCTTGAACTGAAGTTGATGCGTAAGTTTCTGAATCTAGCTCGTGTCATTGAGTTGACTTTGAACTGATCATCTTCGTCAGAAATTCATATCTGAATGCGATTGAACTCCATGGAATCATCCTCTGCCTTATTTTGGCGAAATTATCGATGTGTTGACCGACATCGACCTTTACTGTAACGCGTTGTCCGGCGTTGAGTTTTGTTGTAACGTGTTGATCGGCATTAACACAGTTTATACTCGTATATTTGCTGGAGTCTACACAGTTTAAGCTTTTAAGGTATTAGAGCGTGGCGGTCCCAAATGTTGGGCTGCAGGACCAACTATTAAAGTTGATTCATCTGCATGTGTGGATCTTATCCTGAAGTTATTGGATGTTCAAGTCACGAGACCAACTAATGGGGCTGGTGCGTCAATGACTCTCACATTTATAGGATTTTTGACAAATCCTCAGCCATCAACGGGTTTGATGAGCCTTTACCAACTACCGTTTGAGTCGGGCTAGCATGCAGATTGTTTAAATCCGTTCTGCACGTAACGTTATGCTAAAAGAGTTAACTCTTTTAGTGCTACGATATTGAATACGTAGACTTCGTCTTTCTCACGTGAAAAGACTAAACGACGACGCGTGTTAGGTGTAGACTTTAGGATTTTTGGCAAACCCTCAGCCTTTAACGGGTTTGACGTACCTTTACCGATTATCGTTTGAATTGGGCTTGCATGCGGATTGTTTAAGTCCGTTCCACATGTGGCGTTATGCTAAGAGAGTTAACTCTCTTAATGCTAAAATATTGAATACGTAGACTTCGTCTTACTTACGGGAATGGACTATCCGGCAACGCGTGTTAGGCGCTGACTTATCCCTACTTAGATTTTGGGATAAAAGTCCCCAGACTTAGATTTTGGTGTCTTCTTCAATCGGTAAAAGACTAAACCGGCAACGCGTGTTAGGCGCTGACTTACCCCTACTCAGGCTTCGGGATAAAATTCCCTATGCATAAAAAGGCATGGATTTTTATTGCTACGATGCTAAATACGTAGACTCGGTTGTTTTCAAGGGAACGAACCACCCAGCAGCGCGGGTTAAGCGCTGACTTATCCCTACTTAGGCTTCGGGATAAAATACCCCAGACTGGATTCTGGTGTCTTTTTCAATCGGTGAAAGACTAAACCGACAACGTGTGTTAGGCGTTGACTTATCCCTACTTAGGCTTCGGGATAAAATTCCCCGTGCGTGTGAAGCACGGATTTTAACGTTATGAATAACAACCTGCCACAATGTCGAATATGTGGGCTTTTGTTCTTTTTACGGTTAAGAACTAACCGGCAACGCGTGTTAGGTATTGACTTATCCCTGCTCAGGATTCGGGATAAAATTCCCCATGTATAAAAGGCATGGAATTTTGTTGCTACGATACTGAATACGTAGACTCAGTCGTTTTTACGGGAACGAACCACCCAGCAACGCTGGTTAAGCGTTGACTCATCTCTACTTAGGCTTCGGGATAAAATTCCCCGTGCGTGTGAAGCACGGATTTTGGCGTTATGAATAACAATCTGTCACAATGTCGAATATGTGGGCTTTTGTTTTTTTACGGTCAAGAACTAACCGGTAACGCGTGTTAAGCATTGACTTATCCCTGCTCAGGATTCGGGATAAACTTCCCCGTGCGTGTGAGGCACGAATTTTGGGAGTCGAAAAAGTGGTGTCTTCTCTTGGGGCAAAGACGAACCCGATGCGGGAGAGGAAAACTTGTATATTCTATCTCCCAAAGCTGAAGAGGAAGAATTTTATATTCTATCTCCAGTTGTAAAAGGAAACTCAAAGTGTGATCTCCACTTCAAGAATTCGGGAATGTGAAACTAAGAGTGGGATCTCCACTCCGAGAATCAAAAAGATTCGGATAACCCTAACTATCGGAAGGTTTGATTACCGAACTAAAGATGGATTTCTCGTTTATCGAGAATGAATTGTGGTTTTGATCCTTACTGTAGGAAGGTTTGACCAAGCGGGAGTTTAAGGTGATCCTAACTGTAGGAAGGTTTGATCACTCGATTTAAAAGTGGACCTCTCATTCATTGAAGGAATCGAGAGGAAATTTTAACTATGGTCCTAACTGTAGGAAGGTTTAACCAAG